GGGTCGCTTTTTCCGAATGTTAACATAAGAGGTTCAAGAGAGAAAATTTAGGCTGAAAAGTCACAACCTCTAAAGCCGGCTCTGTTCTCTACTTGATTTAAAAGTTCATAAAAAACGGATTACATAAAAGTTTTTAAAGCTGCGGAAACAAAGTAACTCAATACAAAGGAAGCGAAAAAAAAAACACTCGTAAACTTTCTTAAAGCATGGTAATACGGCAAACAAAAGCAAAATAGCAAGACCCGTTGAGTATTCTAACCGACTGATAGCACAGTTTTCAGGATCCCGAAAAGGGGGAAGAAACTGGCGGTGCTTCAGTCAAACGCCTTTTCATCCGTAAAACATTTTCCATCATCAAACAGTGTATGCTCGCAGAATTTCGCCTTTTAAAAAAGCATAAAATTTTATGCAATTCTTCTAATTTTCTGTTACACACACATTGTGGATAACACCTTGCTCAGTAAAAATTGCTTTTTTCTTAACGTAAATTACACTATTTAGTCATCAATTACACTATTTTGCAGCCAAAGCAATGATAACGAAATAATCATCTAGTCATATGAAGAAAAACCATTTCATTTTAAAGTCGCTAAAAAACATCTGTCTAAAAAAAGAATAATTTTACAATATACAGGCCTCACAAAACGATGGTTAAAATGAAAGAAGAAGAGAATCGCGCTACGGGTTTTCCATAAAGCAATGAAGTTTGCCCTTTTCGATGCTGTTAATTGTCTTGCACTTTGGCCCATCTTTCAGAAGCATTGTAAATTATCGCATTAACTCTGCACTGATGAATAAGCGTATCACATAATTAGTGGTTAATAGACTGTAAGATTTGATGAGTACGGCACTGATTTCTTTCACCAAGACGACGTACAGTTGTCGAGAAGTCTTGCTTTTCGGGCGATAATAATGCGGCTCGATTACGGTCAAATTTATCCACAACATTGAATCGACATTCGCATAGATGACTGCTCAACACTGCCGCATTACTGCGCTTCCATTCATGTATGGACTTCTGAGATTTGCTGAATTCCCACATCTGTAAATTAAAACTCTGACGAAAACAAAATTTGTGACAATAAAGCTCCCAAAATCATCCAAATATCGTTGTTCAAATTTTTTAACCACTGCAATACGGTTAAATACAAACCGTAATCATATCAAGACATCTTATTCTCCGTTGTTTAAGTCGGTAGGTAACGCCTTCGCCATGCGCATTGTCATTCTTTCCGAGTGATTTCATCTACAACACTCAATAAAACCGCTAAAAAAGCTTAGTCTGTCAAAATTTACATCCTTGGACAGAGCGACTGAGCTCTGCTTATCTGAGGGGGAGCGCCTGATGGCCTGTAATGTCATGCGCACATTCGTTGCGCCAAGGCTTTTGCTGTTGCAGCCATCATTCGCTCTTCTGCTTTCGTCAGTGACCGCCTTTAGAACCCACGCATGTTTTGCAGAAGAACTGGATAAAGTCCTTCCAAAGCAATAATTTTGGTGATATCGATTACACCAATTAATAGACAAAAACCGATTTTTCAGTGGTGCGCTGCCTTGGAATTCTGGTGATTTTCTCAATGATTCATAGGTTTTTGCAAAATTCAATTCTCTCCGAAATGTTAGTGGGAACAAACAA